AGAGTGGGAACTCCTCAAAATTGAATGGAAAGTGAATAGTGACACACCTGCAGTCGGTTTTGTTTATTTGTTAATGAAAATGTTGCGAGTTAAGAAATTTCATAAGCATATCTATGGTACCCGTTAAAAAAAAAGTAAGTGTCATCAGATCAAAAAAATTTTGGTGTATATAATTGCGTTACATTTTGAGGCAAACTGATAAATGTATAAGGACCCGTGCAAAGGAACACTGTCTGACATGAAGCACAGTTGAAGACTTATAAAACCTTTCTGTTTACCAGCATAGCATTTTTCATACTGAATATCTCAGCTGAAGTATATATATATATATATATATATATATATATATACTTCAGCATATTTCAGCATATACTTCAACATATATATATATATATATATATATATATATATATATCGATATATACAATATTCATATAAAATAGAAATATATCCACACTTATTCAATCTCTGTTTATCAGGTTTTCAATTACCAACCCTTCATAAATGGCAAACATCTTTTACTTAGTTATAAAACCTTTCTGTCTACCAATTAAAAAATTGAAGATCATTTCATAGCCCCATTTACAGTTACTCTATTCATTCTATTTATTTTTGAAAATTGTTTCTTTATAATCTACTAACTGAAGGCTGGGTAAGTCAATTGAAAATTAAACAGTGTGAAGTATATTGAGCCAATCCACTTTAAATACTAAGTTCTTGATTTTACCCGAATATTACATATTAAATGAAACTAGTTTACTGATTTAATCGCTTTTTTATTTTGATTTGAAATTCCCGACGTTTCGAACCCTTTCCAGCGTTCATGGCCATGGAAAAGTATAATTTGCCTCTGTGCGAGTTTGATATTGTTATCGGTAGAATTAAAAATTCGGCCGAGACCAAGCCTTCTAGTGTGGCACAACGCTCACGAACTGAACGTGCTCCAATATAGTAAATCGTGTTATAATATCGCCGGTAAAGAAGGCGGTCTGTTTGTCCGCTGTCCAATCAAGGTAATGCGTCAGCTGTTGCGGCGAGCGGGCCTTTGTGACGTCACACAATATGTGTACAGCCAGCCAGCCAGACAAACAAGCGTTGTCAATTGTTTGCACGGTACGCTGAACGTTAAAGCATTAATATTCTGACCAAAAACGAAGCCGATCAAGTGCCTCTGACTACAGACTTACTATTGTTAATCGCACCTATTTTTATATAGCATCTTTTCCTTCACGAAACATGACTTTATTTTAAATCCCTTATGAAAGTAAAGTAAGATAACAGGCTACATATGTCCTACTGCTGGGCAAAGGACTCCTCTTTACAGAGGGTATCAGGGTTATTCCGAAAATATGCAGGTTTCCCCACGATGTTTTTCTACAACGCCAAGCCCTAGTATTAAAGGATTAAGTCAAAAGCGGGCGAAAGAGTTTCCAACGAGAAGTCTGAAATAAAACCTAGGCCGCAAGTAGTAATCCATCCGGGATTAATTCTGGGAAGTTAACAAAGCTAGCTACAAGCTACAAAGACTGTTACAGAGTATTATATATTACTAATGATATTTACTTTTACTATGGCAATTCAGAAACAATTTTTAGATAACATTGTTATCTAAAAATTGTTCAAGGTTGACTTTTTGTCATGTTGCGGTCGAACATGCTTGGAAACGAATATAACTGTTCTGTTTATGACGTTAGGTTAAAAAGACTTAAATGCTTTAGCCTTGTGTCCTGTTTTAACCAATACTCAAGTATAATCAATTTATTTATTTATTTATACTTTTTTGTACACCAAAAATAAAAAAAAAAATATAAAAAGCAAATTACAAATGAATATAAAAGGAAGTACAAGGGAAGTACAACAATCAATGTTAGATTTTATATAAGTTAGGTTTTTTTCTAATGTAAAAAGTAGTCAAGCGAGAAGCGGTTCGTATGATGTTAAGTGAATACCGTCGCCCATGAACATCAACAAAATTGGCGGGCTTTTTAAACGCGTTGATAATGTTTTTAAAAAGCACGCCCCGGTTACCTCACTCACCAGATGAAACGCGGCAGTATAAAATACTGTTGAACAGCGAGCAACGCCGGGTGCTATAGAAGCACACTATTGACAATTGCAATTTTGAGAATCGAATCTTCTACCATGCAATGATCATATTTTTTAAAACATCAACAGTTTAACAATGTTGTTTATAGTTCTAGATCCATCAAGGAGCTACTTTGTGTTTTAATAGTTTTATCTATTTGTTATTCTGTCTTTACAATTTTTTCAGTCTACTGCAAGGAACTCGATGTAAATTTAGAATTCAATCAACTTAAGAGTTGCTTCTAATTAATGTCCTCACTTAAGCTAACCACAAAAAATAATAATCAAAAAGGAGTGCAGGAGAATCTTTCGTAACAAGATTAGTACTACAATAGTGGACTTTGCACGCATAAATTAACATGTAACAAAAATGCTCAATGCACTCATAGCAGTGGTGTAAGGGGTGTTTAAGAATCAAGAACTTCTTCTTCCTTTGCTTTCGCATTGCTCATGGAGATAAGGGAAGATCGGAATACTATAAAAAACGACATTTTCGAAATTCCAGGCTAACGTTTAGTTAATGTAATTTTTAAAAGAAACCTAACCTTAACTTCCAGAGCCCAGATGAGGCTATGAAACAACGAAAATGAAAAAAAAAATCGAAGAAAATATGAGATAATGAAACAATAACAACACAATCATGGTAAATAGCACACAATCAGTTTAAATAACAGTACCTATCGAAAAATCACAAAACTACGGAACCCAACCACAACCGGACCTTTATTGGATCACGCTGAGTAATGCTCCATTGCATTCGCCGCATTCAAGGATGGCATGGTTTTTCGTTTGGCCCTCTTCACGCCCAGCGAGCCGTATCTAAGGTCACCCGCAAAATCGAGATCGGAAGAATCGTTTCGTCAGAAAGGTCGTATTGCTGCCAGTGACAGGTGCTCCGCTGTTTATCCAAAATGTTGGGCGCAGTTGGAAACCTTCTGATATTCACGTGCGCTGTTACAACCGCTTACTACGTTGTTAAAGGTAAGTGGACAACATTGTGAAGATGGTACTAAAATTAACAGCAAAGAGCATCTGTTTTCTGATGAGAAGTAATCAGAAAATCTCATTGTCTATACCTAAAACACAAAGGCAGCTTTTCTGAAGTAGGACATCATCATCATCCTCATGCTCTAATTCCATCTACGTGGAGATTTAAGTGAAGTTGTTATTAGCGTAGCGACATAGTTGTTATTGGTATTGGTTAGCTCCTTGAGAAATAACACCCGGATTCCAATAATTATCTGTGGGTCTCACAAATACTTGACCCGTATAAAAACCGAACCCACGACTCCAGCTCCGAAGTTGAACACTGGGCGACTACGTTAAACAAGTCATCATTTACTCTCTCGATTTAAATTCCTTTCCTCTCTTTCCCCTACCCTTATTACAGCTAGGTGCGGTCAGCACAACCTGCAAATTCTTTGGTATTGTTATTGACAATTTTTTTTACCCCCGGCCACTTGCCTTATTGGGAACGAACGCCCAGATCTGGAATAAGTATCTTTATAGTATAATATTATTACCCTTTAAATGTTTTAGTGGCATAGGTACGCAGCAGCCTCGGCTGTTGCACGAATGGACAGGCTCGTCCGGGTAAGTACCACGACCTCACAGAAGACCGGCGTAAATTGGAAATATAACAAATACGTTCGATGAGTGAGGTAGCTCAATCTTCAAAAGTTTGTCAACGCACCTGGAATCCTCGGGTGTAGCAGATGTCCATGGGAGGCGGTATTCACTTAACATCAGGTGAACCATTTGCTCGCTTGAATCTTTTCTCATAAAAAAATGACTTTTAAATAATTAAATTAAATAAAATACGATTTAAATAATTAAATAAAACACGTCGAGGTTTGAAGATGAGCCGTTTAGCTCAGTGGCTAGAGCGTCGGGCGCGTATCTCAGATTTCAAATCCCCTCAGCGGCGAAAAAGTTGTCGTTCATTTTTCTACAACTTTTTCAAATTATCGATAAGTCACACACATGTCAATATCTCTATTGTTTTAAATATAAACAGGTACATAACAAGCCCAATTTTTATTTACAAAATATGCTGGTTTCATAATATTCAGTCATGAATAACTAAATTGTACTTACACATATGGATAAAGACGATAATCAAATTTATTAATCAGGCGAGACACATAAGCGTGGTTTGCTTTGTAATCGGGACCGATGTAATTGGTTCAATTTTGCCAAAGCACTCGTGTACATGCCAAATTAACATGAAATACAGTGTAACGGTAATGCGTTGCCTTGTACTCGTAATGTCGGTTAGATAATCAGTTGGGTTAATTTATTTAAGTTTTAACGAGCCGGCGGGTTTGTTTCATATGGTAGTGTGTGTAGAGCTCTGTAGATGCTCCGTTTCATTCATTTCATACATTCCATCTAAATTATTACTTCTTCGTTGAATTCTGTATTACGTATAACAGGGAGTAATTAGTTTGGGTAAAAATCTAAGGACATAGCTTGTATCTGTTATGTCAGTTGTTGAAGCGTTGAAGCCCTTAACAACAGAAGCGTTGAACCTTTTTCCAATTAAAAATATCCTTTCTCAGGCTCTAGACTATCTGTTTCCAAATCTGTTACCAAATTTCATTTAAATCGGTTCAGTAGTTTTGGAGTAAAAGCGAGACATTCAGACAGTCAGAGTACTTTCGCATGTATAATATTAGTATGGATAGTATGGATTACATTATAATCACTAATGCTAAAATTACCACTAACACAAAAACGTTCGTTTAATAATCTGAAACACTATTAAAGTGTAAAAAGAACTATGACTAAAGCGAGCTTAGTGTGAAACTGTAATATCTTGTATTTGTGTTGACTAAAAATGAATTCTTTGTATATTAACAAAGCTTCAAGAAATTTTTTTCATTCACAATTTATGGTACTGCTTATAATGTCTATCGGAAGCGATCGAAGGCGGGTGGCAGTCTGTTGAGCAGTTCTTGCAATTCTTGGTTGCGACAGGTCATCGCGAGCAAGCAAGGTCCCTGAGGGTAGGAGCGCACCAATCCTCTCCTGTAAGGATACCACAATATATTACTGCTTATCACCTTTCATCATCAGGGTATAGGCAGGACCTGTCGCCCACTTTATTTAAAGGTGGCAACGCTTCTGCAACCCTACCGGTGTTGCAATTGTTATCACTTAACATCAGGTGAACCGCCAGCTCGTTTGCAACTATGTCACATGAAAAAAATGCTGCGAGTTCTGTGTTAGATTCCCATCAGGAACAAGAACTGAAAATATTGTTCTTAATTGGGTTGACTTTATGCAGTATGCTTCGTGTGAAGAATACCTTAATAATAAAGTTTATTGTCATACCACGGTACGAATTAAGTTATTTCTAGATACAGAAAGATACAGAAAGATACAGAATAAAATAAGCTAAAACCAGTGTTCGTGGTTTATCAATTATGCCGTAATCTCGAGAGAGTTAGCAAGCAGGCTAGTCACAATCTAGTTTTATTTATGTGAAAAGCTGCCAAGCGAGCAGGCGGTTCACCTGATGTTAAGCGAATGCCGCCGCCCATGGACATCTGCTACACCCGAGGGTTACAGATGCGTTGACAACTAGTACAACTAGTACTTTATACACCCAAATGCTATAGGCGTGATGGCTCAGCATCCGGGCTTTATAGTTTAGCTTTTAATTCAAAAAACTCGAGCAAGCCGTGGTCAAATTTTGGTGTCGGCACTAAATAAATAGTTATTTGCAATTTTCAGTGCTGATTTATATATAACAACCCAAGTTATAAATGTAAGCCAATAAAAATAATGTTTACAATCTTTCAGATTATTTTAGATACATTCTGCATCGAATTCGACTAGTGTGCTTGGTCTGTTTTTTTGTGTATTTATTTATTTTCTTATGGTTCGCCCACAGTGGACACAATAGTTGAAAATAAAATAAAAACTCGTAAATTTTCCAACAATTATAGGTACATAACTCGTATCGAAATGTGACATATAATAACGTTGAAACGTAAGGGAAAATTATGAGGAACTATATCAAATTCCATATCACTAGACAATTCTCAAATAACGGTTCCAGAGTTGAAGCATTTATGTTATCGCGATTCTTCTTTTGAGCGACATAGCCAGGTAAAAGTAAAGTAAAGTAACAGCCTATACATGTCCCACTGCCAAACTGCTGGGTATCAGGGCACAGGCGGCCCCTTACATTGGCGGAAATCACGTATCTTCGAAAAATATTTTTTTTGTTATTATTTCAAAAATATGCAGGTTTCCTCACGATGTTTTCCTTCACCGCGGAGCACGTGATAAGTCAGCACTTAAAGTTAAAAACTTCATTGGTGCCGGCACCGGGGATCGAACTCAGGTTGCTCGAGTATATTGAAGTAAAGGCGAGCGCCCGGACACTGAGCTATCACGGCTCATAGCCAGGTAACTGGTAATTAAAATAAAACATATATACTTGCAGTAGCAGCCAGATCTGCAGTGCAGCAAACGTTTAGGTATTATCTTAACTCTGTTAGTCCTCTGTTCCGTTTCCCAACAAGTGTACTCTTCATAAAACGAACAGGATCGGTGAACCTCGTCGTGAGGACACTCTTTCTCTGTTTGGGATATGCGTCATCAAAATTAAAGAATAAACAAAACCATTGTAGTGTACACTTTGGTGAACTTTTTTATCGCTACATAAAATTAAGGTTTCTTTCGAAACTTAAGGGCCCTACACACCATATGATTGTATGTAGAGCATAAAATAGTACACTAGATGCTTATGTGCCGGAGTTATAAGCCAAATTTCGGTGTCAAATTCAAAAGCATAATTTTGGACTAAAAAAATTGAATTATTTGGCAATTTATTTGACTGAGGTCCAACAAATGATGTCACAAATAAGTTAATACTGAAAGACGAGCCGCATTACTTATGGGATAACGCAGAAAACGATTGTTCTTACGTGCTAATTAACACGCTTATGTTAGTTTCACCTGAATGTACACAATATCTACAAAAGCGTGTTTTTTAGTTTTTTTTTAAACTATTATTCTTTTAATGTCACGAATGCCGAGTCACGTCTAGCTATGCCTTTTTTCTCGTTTCTCCTCTTAAATAGCTGTGATGTGAACAAATATCAAGCCAACACATTAACTATATTTTGATTTTTGTGAACACATAGGGGTGCTAAACAATCTATATATAAACATTAAACAATCTAATACGATAGAAAACTAAATTAAAACTGGTATTGTGGAAAATATTCTGCAAGTTATAAGTCAAAAAACATTTCCTCATCACGTTGCAGGATGTTACAACTAATACTATTGTCTAATTTAGCCCATATATAACAATATTCAAGATAAACCACTAGAACCCCGTTTGGCATACACATGCGGTATTTGATCAAATATTCATACGCACACACATATATTGGACGCATGCTGACTCAAACTCAACCTCATCATGTAGGGGAAGAATATAATAGAACAGACAAAGTCAAAGATAGCGAGACAGCATGATTCACCAGACTTAAGTTAAACGTGACAGACAGAGTTAAGCGCAAATGTTGAACCGAGTTCACACGTAGGAAATCCGAAGTACTGAAATTTGATGGTGCACGCCTTTGGCTTAACCAATAACGCGCAACTCGCAAATGTAGGTCCTGATCACTAGACAATCACTGGTTTTGCGTATTTGAATTAGCTTACTAACTTAGCATGGTACATCTGTATCCACTAAGCATCGAACATAAAAACGAAACCACTATAACACTAGCCATTGTAACGGCAATCTTTACAGTACGTTAACCAAAGCGGCATTTCGTTGGAAAATACTTGGCGATAAGTTAACTGAAGTCGTAAAACTAACTGATTGCAGTTCCAGCGCAACGGAGTTACGTTTATCGCAAACGACGCTTCACTAGCTTTTGCCCGCAGCATTGTCTGTGTCGTTTACTCCTTATAGATGAACAAATGATTTTTAAAGAAAGTTCTTGTAGCATCCAAACTTTATTGAAACTCACCGTTGAAGCGTGAAAGCGTAAATAGGCACACAAACATTTAACATTTATCAAGTTAGTGCCATAAGACTTGTCCGAGGTAAGGAGAGCGATCTGTGTACAAAATCTGCCGACGAAAAGCAGTGGCGTGAGTAAATTGGTGTAGCAAGCAAGGTATTAGTGGTGTATTAATAGTTACCATGGTTATTGGCTACTAAAACTTAGCTCAGATAAGTAGGTACATCCTTGCTACGCAAGCGATATTCTGGTGGGTTTTTGAATTGTTATTTAATACTTAGGGCTGAATATTTTAGAACTTCATTTGGAACAAAATATGAGGTTGTAAATACCCTATGAGTAGAAAGGTTTGTCAGTATTCTTCTTTAAAATTTTATAAAATGGTCCTGATGACCATATAATTGAGACCGCTTCTTGGTAATAGTATTAATTATTTTGGTTGTTTCAGACGAATGTCCGTCGAACGAGGAGTATTTGCTTTGCGGATCCGCTTGCCCGTACAACTGCACCAACCCTCAGGAACCAGTAGTCTGCGGCGAAGAATGCATCGAGGGTTGCTTCTGCAAGTCCGGCTACTTGAGGAATGAGACCGGTACCTGTGTGCCCATTGAAGAATGCGTCCGCGGTGAGTGGGCTTCATTATTTATAGGGTATAACGAGTTAATGGTAATTTTTAATTTAGAAGCATAGTGCGGAATCGCAAGAAAATATGAATCAGCATTAGCTTGAGAAAGTTCTTGAAGTCAAAAGACAGTATCCAGAAATCTTCAGTACACAAAATTCGAAGTGACACACGTTTCCCTGAGAATAGATGACCACCACTAATAGATTCTTTTTTTATGTGAAAAGTTGCCAAGCGAGCGGGCGGTTCACCTGATGTTAAGTGAATACCGCCGCCCATGGACATCTGCTACACCCGAGGGTTGCAGATGCGTTGACAACTTTTTGAAAACTGGGCTCCGGCCACCTCACTCACAAGACGAAAGGCGAAAGTATTATACTTCCACTTTGCGCCGGTCGTCGTGTTATTTACCCGGACGAGCTTGCCCATTCGTGTGCTACGCATACCGAAATGTCGTTTCTTCCTTAGCAGACTCGGCGCCAGTCTGCCAGGAGAACGAAGAGTTCATGCATTGCGGGAGCGCTTGTCCGGCAACCTGCTCCCAGCCAGAACCCCTGGTTTGCAGTCTTGTTTGCAGCGTTGGTTGCTTCTGCAAGTCAGGCTACTACCGGGATGAGGGCAGCAATAAATGTGTGACCTTAGACAAATGCTCTGTCAGTAAGTATAGCGATTGATTTATCGTAGCCTCCAAATTCGCCCGATACGTATTATTTATTAGTTCTAACTAGTTGCTGCCCGCGACTACGTCTGCGTAGAAGAGGCTGAAGGTGTAACATTAAGCAGAAAGACATATATACATAAAATATGCATATAAATTATAGCCTACATCTCATTCTGATGTATAAGCTATATTATTGTAAAGTTTCTTTAAAATCCATTCAGTAGTATTTGCGTGAAAGGGTAACAAACACCCATCCATACATACAACCTTTCGCCTTTATAATATTAGTAGGTAAGTAGGGATGTTGTCCACATTAATATACTAATGTTGTTAAGCAACTTGGTCGCGTCAGTACTTGTGATTGAAGTCTTACTCAAGTTACAACAATCACGTAGTCTTAGTTAGAGTGACATCAAGTTAAGAAGACTTGTAGAAAATGTTTTTTACTTTTATCTGTAAGACAGAGGAGGTCTCTCAGACTTGGTATGTGCATGAAAGAAAGAAACAGAAAATGTTTCTTTGTCATAATAATGAAAATGTATGCACCAAAAAGGCAATGAATTTTCACTAAAATATATCCATTTATTTATTTCATGGATTCTATAGCGTTTTATTTTGATTTTAAGTTCATTCGGCGTTCATAGTGACTGCACAGTCAGTCGAGTGACCATGAGAAAAATTCGTAAAAGAATTCCATTTAATCATGCATAGAATTGGCGTGAATAAAAAAAATCAATAACCCTCTTTCGGGCGCAGTCGGGTAATAAAATAAATCCATTTTACAGACCCATCATAGCTCAGTGTCCGGGCCCTCGCTTTTAATTCATTATAATCGAGCAACATTAGTTCAAATCCCGGTGCCAGCACCTACGTATTTTCAAAATAATAACAAAAAATAATTTCGAGGATATGTGACGTCTACCGATCCACAATGAGGTCGCGTCACTATACTCTGTACAGAGGAGGTCTTTGTCCAGCAGTGGGAGATGTTACTTTACATTACTTTACTTTTTACAGAGCCTTGTTCCAACAAGAACGAGGTATACGATATGTGCAACGCCGCGTGCCAGCCCACTTGCTCGGACCCCGACCCTGTCTGCACGAGGATCTGTTCGGCTGGTTGCGTCTGCTCCGCTGGCCTGCTGAGGAGCGCCGCCGGTACTTGCGTCAGCGTGGACAAGTGCCCCACCAACGGGACCATCACTGGCCCCCTCTCGAAGTACTTGAACGCGATCACGAAAATCCTGCACTTGTCGTACGTTTAGTGATGCGCTTTTACCTTTATCGAAATTTTTAAGGATGGCGCTCTACGGTTCATTAAAAAAAAAAAAAAAACACTTCATTTGACCGTAAGGAACTTTTAATAACGACACACAACTATGTTACAAAAACATGTTACTCGGACCAAGTATGGAGGTTGACTGCGTTTACTTAGGTAACGAAACTGTTTATTATAACTGTAAATTGTACATAAAAGTTCGTTATCGATATCGAAAATTTGAGAATTATTTTTGCTATCGAATAAAATAAAGTTGTTTGACGAAAATCGCATACAATTGTATTCCAAATGTGATGATTTAATTGTTATTATTATTCTTAAGCATCTTATCTTTATCGGAGTCTGTTTTTGAACGAAGTTGTAACTATACAATACATTGCAAAGTTAATGTTTCAAATTATAAAAGGTATATTTTGATAATTTTTTCAAAAAAATAACTTTGTTTTTTATACCTATGTAATGTAGTAGAATTATTGGGATATGTTCATAATGAGTTAGTTGGGTGTTGTGTTTTGTGATCGCTTTTTTATGTGATTTCATCGGACTCTAGTATGGGGGACCTTGACTTCGGCGTAAATAATTGATTTAAAGTATTATATATTATCAAGCCTGTGGTTTCAAAGGCTTGATAATATATAATACTAATGTACTACCGTGTGTATCAAACCTAAAATACAAAAAATAAATTGAACACAAAACAATTTGATTGTTTTCTTCTTTAATCAGTGTGTTTCGTATAGCAGTGTTATTATGTTTGACTCATCATAGCGGAAAGTAAAAATATAACGAAATACGTAAAATAATTTATTTAATATTCGATATTACAAATAATAAACATAGTATAACAGTGATTGGGTTAAAGCTTGCTGCCATGCCTTTATTCGTTACCGGAAGCGTAATTATATTCGCGACCTGAAACAAAGAGTTAAATAATAAGGTAATGGAGTGAGCACCGTTTTGCTCATAGGGTGTAAAGTTAAATAAGGCTTACAGATATCATTAAATTTTTAAATACCAATTATTACTTTTACTCAAATTATAGTACGATGTCGATCATAATTTAAATGTGATTCATACAACTTGCAAAAATATTGAACGTAGCGACAACTCTTGTCGACCTTTTCAATAAGATATAAAAGTGATATGTGTACCATATCAGCTCCCGAAATTTATATAAATACTTGTTTTTCTTTAACTATTTTATTTTTCTTTCCTTCGCTTTCAGTAAAAATATATTAAGGAAAATTATTAAAATAGGTAGTAGATAGGATAGATTTTGTTTAAGTGACATCTAGTGGCACAATGCCTTACTATTAACAAGTAAGGTACTTTGTTACAAAGTCGTGATGTTGGTAATTTATAAATAAATCGAAAGATGTCACTCTTAATGTAAAATAATATTTGTTAAGATTTTTTTTTAATCTATAGTTATTTATTGCAAATTTATGCATGCCCTAAAACATTATTCAAAGAAAAAAATTCTCTATTAGACTATAAAAACATCTGTGAAATATATAATTTTTTGCGCATCACCTTCGCTGCGTGTTTCTTGTGGAAATAAAGTGGTTGATCTATTCATATATAATTAAAATGTTAAATTAATATTATTCGGAAGTAAAATTATTATTGGGATTTATCGTTTTAAAAAGAACCAAAAATAACTTTATTCCAGTATCTCGCTTTTAAATAATATCAGTTTGATGGTATCGTTATTTCTAAAAAGTATCTATGCTTTGCCTCAGCTTATGTACCCACTCGAGCTAGTCACGTTGCATTGTGACCTGGCGGGACAATACATCAGCGTATAGGTAGGTACATTTGTCTCGCGTTTAAATTATATCAATCATTGTAACGTTATTTTTAAATAGTATCTATGCTTTGCCTCAGATTATAAAGCCACCCGAGCTAGTCACGTTGCATTGTGAGCTGGCGGGACAATGTATCAATGTATAGGTACATTTGTCTCGCATTTAAATAAGATCAGTTTGATTGTATCGTTATTTCTCAAAACTATCCATGCTTTGCCTCAGCTTATATAGCCATCCGAGCTAGTCACGTTGCATTGTGAGCTGGCGGGACAATATATCAATGTATATGTACATTACCTAGCCGCGTGCCAACGAAACGGACGTCACCTTTTTGTACTCCTCCTCCCTGATGCCGTAAGCCAAATAGGAGTACGCGAGGAAGTCGCTGCGATTGGAGACCAGCTGGAAGACCATGCTGCGGGCGCCGGTCTGGCCACGCACCAGCTCGAAGCTCACCTCGCCAGCTGCGTCCGTGATCGCGGACACCTCCAGGTAGGAGAGCACGTAGCCCTTCTGCGGGCCGAAAGTGACTTATTGATATTTGTGATGACGACCCGATTGGCGTACTGTTGAGAAGTTTTCACTTGAAAAACAAGTTTGAAACAGTGGAAAGAGCCTCGCCGCCAAAAATGTAAAAAGTAAAAAAGTAAAGTATCCGTCTATGCATGTCCCACTGCTGGGCAAAGGTCTCCTCTGTACAGAGGGCGTCAGGGCATAGACCACCACGCGGCCCCACTGCGGATTGGCGGACTTCACATATCTTCGAAAAATTTTTTTTGTTATTACTTCGAAAATATGCAGGTTTCCTCACGATGTTTTCCTTCACCGCTGTTCACCTTCACGTGATAATTCGGCACTTAAAATCAACAATTTCTTTGGTGTGCCGGCACCAAAGAAATTGTTGATTTTACCGGGGATCGAACTCAGGTTGCTCGAGTATATTGAACTAAAGGCGAGCGCCCGGACACTGAGCTATCACCGCTCACGGCTCACCAAAAATGTACTTAAAGCAGATTCGAAGACGTGCTAAGGCTATGTCATGATGATTAAAATGAGGTATATTTTATGTCACATGTAGCTACTGCGGTTGAGATACGTTTATCCAGCTAGCAGTTTCTCCTGTTGTATTAATACACCTATGTACGCGGGAGTACCACGACCTAAAAGCATAGAATGTGCACGGTTAAGCAAAAAATATTGCATGTAATCTAAGGATGACTCTGTGGCTCAGTTGCCAAGGTATAGGGGTCTAGTATGCGTCAGGGGTCGTGGGTTCCATTCCCACACGGGAAAACTGTTTTCGTGACCCACTGATAATTGTTTCGCATCTGGTTGTTGGTCCCACTTGAAATTTATGCTTGTAAAACGTCCTTACAACACAGGATAATGTTATCCTAAGGTAAGGGTAATTGTCTTAAAACAAAATACATAAATTACGTATTATCTAATAAATCTTGTACACGTGGCAAGGTGCCAAGAAAGCTAGCTACATTTACTCGCAGTATAGTTATGCTTAGCCTTTGAGCGAGAAAAGAACCAGCCCCCTTGAATACGCAGCATAAAATATTACGTTAGCTTTTGCATTACTTCAAAGTAGGCGATGACATTGGATTGGTAGCATACGTATGTTGTGGATAATCACGGCTCAGGTTTTTGCATGTTGTTGCAGACTTACTATCAGGCTGAACTCCTGTTCGTTTGCAAAATTTTGATGTATAAAAAGGTATCGTATTAGAAAATTCCCTAGTTCCTCTTCGCTCTTGTAGACGTTGTGACAATTAGCAATCAGCCTTTGTATTTTGTTTCCGAAGTATGTACATTTTTTTACTCTGCTATTTAATAACGTTATATTTGATTCCATTAAAAGAATAATCGATGCTACAAAAGAAATACATTTCCTTATGCAGATATTCTCTTATTATAGTGACAACGTTAATAATTTAAGTAACGTTGTGTATTCATCTGCTATGACGACATTTTTAATAACAAACTGCATTTATACACACTTAAATGATGTTACATCCAGCGAAGTGGGCGGGTATTGTGAATTAATTAAAGTGTAATCAAAAATATACTAGTTTCTAAACGTTCAACCAGTTCAGTTGGCTATAACACGTTGTTTACGTAGAGCCACTATCCTAACCTACACTCTCTAACCGATCATTTGGACGCTGCACTAACTGACAACCTCTGGATTTCTATCCCATAGTCAAACGGATATAAGCAGACCGCCAAACCACTTGGCTGTCGTTGACAAAGCGTTTTGCTGTTTGACCGACGAGTAAGACATCGCTTTAACTTTGCGTAGTTTATGGACAATTTTCAAGTAGATATAGAATTAAAGATTTATATCATATTTATATTAATTCTGTATTTCTGTGGAGCACATCTTCTTATAAGGAGTCCATTCTCCTGTGGGGAAATCCGGGTTAAGTGTCGTATTTACAAAAAACCTCGGTGGCCACAAAACGCAATCGCCCCAATTGCTACTTATTCCTCAACTCTACTATTTTAAATTTGCACGAAAAAAGTTCACCCTGTCACGTTTTGGTCCTATCCTTATATAAGACCAAAACGTAAGCACTGTGATACTTCCTATGGTTAGTTAAGTGAAATTTAATATGATCTCGATAAACATTTCTACGACTTTAGCCTTTTGTACCGGCTGTTGCCGGAATGGGCAACCAACCAATTATTTGGGTACCATTTCCTTCCAGAAGGCCGACATCAAGCAGAACAATTATACTTGTATATTCGTCTGACATTGACATAAATGTTGGCAACGGATCTACAAGCCCATAATGAACTACGTTTGTCACCTTCCAGCAAAAAATAAAGAATTTTTACACACCCAAGATTTTGGACTACAATTTGACTGATACTTTACTAGAGGCACTGGAGGTAGCGAATTTTTAACGAACAGCGTACAAAGTCAGAAATCCGTGACACGAAAGGAAATTCTTAATAAGACGGAAATACTTAAGCTAAATCAGTAGAGCGAGAAAACTAACCGAGGGAAAACATTTTACTGAGAGCTTTAAAAATGTTAACGTTATCGGAGCTTAAATGAGTTTGAGAATTTTGAACTGAAAATTCCGTTTTATAATATAAAAAGCAACTTAGCGCGCATTAAAGAATAATAAAAGAAATTTTTTAATAATTGAAGTATAGTCTCTCTCTTTCTCTCTTTCACACACATTAGTATCAAAGGTAATCAGACAAGTACCATCTTACATCGGAAACAAAGGCGATAGAAATATTTGACATATAAATGAAGGATTTTGGATGAAATAGATGGATGGAAACGAGTTACAATAACCTCAGCGAGTACAACCCACGTCAATCGTGAATCAACATTCCACCAGTTCACACAATCATTGCATTTCACTACTTTATCATATATATGTCCATGTGGTGGGCAAAAGCCTACAGATGGTATCAGGGCAGAGACCTATTAATAAAAAAGTAAAGTAACAGCCTAAACATGTCCCACTGCTGGGCAAAGGCCTCCTCTATACAGAGGGTATCAGGGCATAGTCCACCACGCGGCCCCACTGCGGATTGGCGGACTTCACATATTTTCGAAATACATATTTTTTGTTATTATTTCTAAAATATGCAGGTTTCCTCACGATGTTTTCCTTCACCGCGGAGCACGTGATAAGTCAGCACTTAAAGTTAAAAACTTCATTGGTGCCGGCACCGGGGATCGAACTCAGGTTGCTCGAGTATATTGAATTAAAGGCGAGCGCCCGGACACTGAGCTATCACGACCTATTAATAACCTATAAATAAATAATTTTTTTGTTATTATTTCGAAATTTTCCTTCAGCGCTGAGCATCCTTCACGCTGCTCGTGATAATTCAGCACTTAAATTAACAGTTTCATTGGTGCTGGCACCGGGGATCGAACTCGGGTTGCTCAAGTATATTGAATTAAAATAAATAATAAAAAATGGAGAGGTGTCTTCTGGACCCAATTGAAACGGAGTTCACTATATTTTTCGCGATATCTTTTTTAAATAAAAAGTTCGGCATAAAGAATCATAAAATAAGAAGAAATGGGTATAAAGTTACATTTTTTTTAGTTTTGACGTTGTTCTTAGAGTAGAAAGTGAAAAAGTAAAAAGTTTGTTCTTCTTAAAAAAAAAATTAAAACATGTGGAAAAACTTTAAAAATCAAAATTGTTTGTCATATTGACTAAATCGTATAAAAACATCGCTTTATTACAGATGGTTATGTGTGTTCTACGAGATCTACACTATCCTGGTAATTTTTGGGCTAAAATACAATAAATAACTTTAGTGTCATTTATATGAGTAACAAAAGGTAAAGATGGGCGACCTTCTTGGAAGGTGAGCGTAAAAATTTATTTTGATTCAATTTATTTGGGTCATTGTTATTTGAAAATAGAATTATTTCCACTGAAGATGTTTAAATCGGAATCCACCAAAACAATGCCGCACGTAAATCAGTGCTTTATTCGGTCCTGACGGTACAGATTATAAGGGAAATTTTTTTGTATGGTTTATTCTGAGTTATTATTTCAATACAAGTAAATTTTATTATTAACGAAAAACAAAACCGACTTCTAATATCTCGCTTTGTATTCGCTGAAACTTGTATTCGCAAAACTACGATTAGATGTTTTGTTTCCAATATTGCTATCAGACCGATGCCACAGGAAAATCAAATGGCGTGATGTTAAAGAAAAATCAAAGAATCCGATTTTAATCAAATCTTGCACATTGCGTGCAGTTTGATCCAACTTGGGAGATAGGATGGTTTAAATTTATAGTCGCAATACTTTTAATTGCATCTGAGAGTTCCGTAATATTCTAACAGATGGCGGTGTAAGGTAAATTTATCGGCTGGATTGAGTAAGTATCCAATAGATGGCGGTTGTTTCCGATTTTGGGTCAGGCAGACGTCCTACGAAGTCAAGTTCAACAATATTTCTAGCTACACAAATTTCCACCAACATTTTTAATATACACAGAGTACCTATGTTGAAATAGACGCATAGTATGTATTTGTGTAATTATTCCACATACTACCGTGTTGTAGGGAAGAGTTACCGTACCATACCGCATACGATCGTACCTACCGCATATGATAATAACGAATGCTTATTTTCAAATAGTTTTTTTTTAATGATAATTTCTTATATTTACGCGATTACACATTATAAATGAAATTGATTTTTACCGATTATTTTTAATTTTAATTCCTGACGTTTCAAATCCTTTACAGCGTTCATGAAGTCTGACAGTCTGTCCGTAAAAATTATTTTCATTCATAGTTTTTTTATTGAATCTTCCATAACTTTTCTCATCTACTTGAGACTGGCTTCCCTGGACCCCATTTAACATGGCCAAGTACTGGATCGTTGTATAAATACTCTTCTTTTGAGACCCTTTTACCCGTTTGAAACATCTTATCATGCACCAAAGCAGGTGCGTAGCTATACTCAGAGCTTTGATTGCTAAACCATAAACACTATCAGACTCTTAAGCACTAAAAAGGCTTTAAAAAACCTAAAAGCGATTTGCCCCGCATTAGCGCCGCTAACCGGCGTCTGAGAGGCTGTTAAACCGTCATTAAACGGTATTACCGGCCTCCCGGTTATATGGCGGATGCAAACGGGGCCCAATCAGCGGCCATTCAGACGCGAAAGGGCCTGTTTTAAAGAGCCTCTCTGTGTAGTGCCCACTTAGATGATTGAGGCCATATAGATGTTTATACGTTGATTTGTTAATGGATTCCCAGCCGGTAGAGTTAATCGGTAAAAATGGGTAGCCCATTTGATCTTCGTTCTAAGGAGAGAGTCAAAATGAAGTCGAAATTTCTTTGTTCGTTTTTAATAAATTACCAATGATTCTTCTGGATCAGGTTCGATCTGGCGTTTCTTTCTTTGCCCATTGTGGATATTGAGAAACTAAATATATTTTTTTTTCTTATTTTCCTTTGCAACACATTGGGTCCTAACATTGCGAAAATAACCAACATTAACAAGTTTCAGTGAAAAGTTCCAATGTGGTCCACAATATATACGTACAAATTGTCATAACGCATATGAAAATTTATGTCCGAATTGTTATTAGTCCCTTCGAAAGCTTTATGTTACTGTCCCAGTAGCTTCAAACAAGACCGAAGTGAATAAACAAATTTCGTCTCCGACTTTAAATCTACCGAGGGGTCGACGTGCAAATTTCGTTTATATTTCGGCAGCCGCGAAAATCTCTCGTTTTATTTGATTTACCGCATAAAACAACCGATCGCTTCCGGGTTTTATACCACCCAGCGTTGTTCGCTTCGCGCATAATAAATAAGCGATAACGGAGAGTTCGGTACGAGTTGAATTCAATTTAAGGGTCTATTTTATTTGTAAATTTTGGTGTAATATTATCTTATTTGATGAAACTCAGTATTATTTTTGTACGTACAATTTTACGACTAGCTAAGATATCTGGCTATCTCACGAGTTCTGAATTCGATGTAGCTTTAATAGTCTACGCAGCAAAGGAAAACCATTAGTCAAAGTAAAGTAATCAAATACGGAAGCTCAGTTTCCGAGCGTTCATCTTGAATTTCGCTGACGTATTGTGAACTGGAGACAACCGCTGAGCTGAGCACGTGATAAATAAGCACTTAAAACCCGCAATTTCTTTGGTGCCGGCACCTGGGATCAAACTCATGTTGCACAAGTATTTGAAATTAAAAGGGCTAGAACAATGAGCTATCACGGCGCTTCGTTCTATTTCTTAGTATACAGATTATGTTAATTGGCTGTTCCTACATATGTATATTGAAATATGTATGTAAAATCACCCACTAAAGCCTGCCGAAAAGGGACTTACTTTAGCTGATGCTGTGACGGTCACGAAGAAGGGGTCATAGTTGTTCCTGTGTCGGAACCTGTCAGAGCCGCCGGTCATCGGTAATGAACCTGGAATACGTAGTGTTCGCACCATTAATACAGTGAAGGAACTTCTTTATAGCTATATTACGTTATCAATGCTATATTACGACTCTTAAAGCCTATAAAGCCTTTATAAATTCTTTATAGGCTTTTTTTAAAGTTTTTTAGTGCTAATCTCTGCACTTAAGATTGAACGTTGGAAAGGATATAACAATAGATGCGCCAAGCATTGCTTCAAATGCTAAATAACATAATAATGTAGAAAGAATGCGTTAAGATTTTCGTCGCTGTGGCTATCAGCCGTTTAGCTCAGTGGCTAGAGCGTCAGGCCGTGAATGCCGAAGACGTGGGTTCGATTCCCACAGCGGTGACAATCTTTTCGTACTTTTTTACATGTTTTAATTTTATTTATAGGCTTTAAGAGTATTAACATAGCATTGCTTCTGAAAAATTTACATGAACAGCACTGGTCCTTAAGTCAACAAACCGGTTAGGTGGTCTTTTTGTGGTACACATGTTTGATCAGTTGAAAAGTTTTTGATGACTCTGTGTCGCAGTTGCCAAGGTGGCTTCGGCTCCGGGGGTCGTGGGTTCGATTTCCCACATGAAATTTTAAACGTCTTTACAACACAGGATAATGTTGTCCTACAGTGACGGGCAATGTTCTTTATGAAAAATGTCCGAAAACGGAACAGTTTGAGAGCCTATTGTACAAACTTTACAATTGCGCCTACGGAGTCATCGGTCTTCCGTTGTCCGGTATAATTGAAATGTAAATAAAATGTGAAGAGGACCGCGGGAGAATATTTTTACTAACTTTATTAAAAATGTTTTCTACTACGCTAAGTTAAGCAGAAACTCTTAATCTAGAAGCCTCATTTACTTTCGGCCTTATAATAAAAGGCCAACGAACGTAACGGATGAGCAGGGAAGCGGGAATTAATATTTGGTATTTGGGTTCCGTAAGTACTGTTTTTAGTGAGATATTTCTTTTTAGTGATATTTTATCGCAATAAAACATATTTTGGATTTAGAGAAAAACATTGAAAAGAAAACTGCATTAAAAAAAAGTCACATGAGAACATAATAAATACGATACATGAGAGTACAATCAAGTTTGTACAGATGATCTTGTAGAGAGATGTTACACTAGATGAACGGTAAAACTTGACAGATCTTCTTCAGTGGTTTGTTAAATGTTTGGATGGAAGCTCGATTCAAAGAGTGAATCCACTTGCATATATAAGGATACAGTAGTAAGTACTCGCCCGATTGTGGCTATTTTGTCACTGTGATGTGGTTGCAGTACTGAAAACTTGTTGTTCTGCACCTCGTTCTCGTTAACATGCTATAGCTCAGCGGCCTGGTTTTCTTAAACCTTCAACCCTGGCAGCCCATCGCTACTCATCCATCTGTATGTAGAAAACTCTTTCCACAGTGGATAGCCAGGTGTGAGACAACATTCAGGCTAAGATGCATATTTCAGGCATATTGTTCTCCTTTAATCTCTTGGTTACAATAAATGTGCAGTTTTCTGTTGGTAGATTTATTTACAAGGACCGTACATCATAATCCTTTATACAGATCTTATGATTGATAGAAAGCCAAAGGCGAGGTCAAGTGCGAATTGGCCGACTTCTCGTATCTGTGAAATATGTTTTTGATTTTTTTTTCTGTTACGTATGTTTCTTCGCGCTATTGTCTTTTACAGATAATAAATAGACAGACGCGATATTTATAGATCGATGCAGAAAGGATTTATAATTTTTTATCGAAGCACCTTAAAAAGGGGTTACAAAGAGCAGACTTAATGGCAATTGGCATTCTCTACCAGCCAACACGGAAATTGTGGTAGGTGCAATAAATGAAGTTACAATTGTTAGCTTTACTTTGTTTTATCAAGCTAAGGTAGAAATATAAATACTTTTACCAAATCACCGTAGGTTCACTTTGCACAACAATAACACTGGTATAATTACTTATCTTCACTTTTAGATCACTAATGAAACACAACTCTGACGGCTTAACCTGTGATACCGAGTAGACAGCACTATTTTGTATACTACTCGTTGACAGCCGAAAAAGACGACGACGACGAAGACAACGAAGACCATCAAATGCTTCTTGCAGCTTCATTTATACCCCACAGAATGACACTTCTTTTAGTATTGCCAACAACCTCAAGGAATGACTTCCTTTAGTGTTGCCAACACAATATGCATTCGTGAATAAGATCAATATTAAGATCCAAATTGGTATATGTAACATATTCAAGGCTTCTAACTCGTTAACTTTAATACCAGTTTAAAGGCATATTGTTTGGTCAGCCTGAGAATTTATTGCTAATATAAATAAAAAGTTAATGACGTCAAGTAAGTCAAAACTTATTCTTCCTCATACATGCATCAAGATGCAGTATCAAATGATTATTAATTACTAGCTAAAGGAAATATTTACATTTGCTAAAGGAAACATCTAAGTAACTTTCACGTATACAGTGCAATAAACAAACCGGTGTAACATAACTAAAATACAGAAAACTTATAGTTCTCTCTTTTCGATTCGCAAAGCGTAACCCTAAAAACGAAGTAAAAAAACGAAGTTAAGTTTAATTGACTTACTTTTGTCTGGGTGTAACAGTTTCAGCCTCACTGTTTAAGGGTAGTGGGTATTTACCCACTACCCTTAAACCTTCATATTTATGAAGTGGATTGTCAACTTTTTTGCAAATGTACATTTAATAGTTATATCTGCTAAAGAAATCTTGTAACAAAATATCTCTTTGTTGACCTTTTTCATTGTGTGGACGTGTTAGGCTAAGGGTGAAGTTGAAATTTTTCAGCTCTTATTATGTAGAGTCACTCAGGAGCTTCTTTTGTTGTACGAATGGGCTGCAGATTTCAGGTTGACAATTATTCTCGTCTGTCAGTTTCTCGAATCAAGAAAATATTTATCGTGTATATTGGAATGGCGGGATACGGGATTTGTAGTAAAGTTTGCTGACATGTACCCTACATGTCATTATGTTTCAAAAAGTATCCAGGTAAGATATACCAGGATCCAGCACAGTTGAAACTTTAACACTTAAAAAAAACACTTACCCATTTCTTTAACAAGTATTGAAACTGGCAACACATTTAAGACACACTTAACTATATAGTACCTGGAGGACAGCTTAGCTCGGTTTTTTTTCGGTAAATCATGTATTTTGGAAATAAAAAAAAATAAAGAAAAAGGTCTGGTATAGAAAAAAAAGTAAGTGTGTAAATGATCGTGATCGTATCACCGTCTGTTTTGCCGACTGTTTTGGGGCCGCCCCATGAACAAACGATCTATTATAACATTTCTTTTTGCGGCTAAATTTACTGTCATATTCGAATGATATTTTTCTTTCCTGAAAACAGGGATAAAAGGAAATTTTCTAATTATGAAACCTAGCTAGATCGATTTTTCACTCCCGAATCTACGCATATACGACTAAACAATCAATTTTTAAACTTATACTTATGACTACTGACAAAAAACAAAAACAAACTTAATAAAAACCTCATTAGTTTGTAAATGAAACTTAATGGCCATATGCAGTGTTTTAGGAAACAATACAATTTTAGAAATAAACCTTGAAATACTTCTTAAATATGGAATACACAAAAATATAAAATACAATCTAAACAAAACAAGATCACTAAGTCCAACAACTCACCATGTGTCAATAGGTTTAGGCCAGCCTTTCATATGATCAGCAGATGAAGAGGTTTTCCATGGACCTTCTGTAGTACTGTCCATTTTTTCCACATCATATCTATCCTTCCCCTTTATCTTAATTATCTGGTATGGACCTAGGTACTTGGGTTTCAATTTCATTCCTACTCCAAACTGTGTTCTTTTTATAGCCACAATATCTCCAACATTATAACTCTTTCTTTTTCTCCTTTTGTTAAAATTTCTCATGTTTTCTTCTTGAATTTTTAATATTTGCTGTTTCGCTTTCACACGTAGTTCTTCTCTATCTTTAATATAATGATTTCTACTTTCCTCTCTAAGCAATTCATAAATTTGTATATCCTCTTTTGTCTTCATTTTTGTGCCAATAATAAGTTCAAAAGCAGTAGTGTCAATACTTCTGTTATAAGTGCTATTTAAAGCTCTTTGAAGACGACTCACATGTCGGTACCATAATGTAGGATTTTCAATACAGAGTTTGGTCAGTACAGAAATAATAATTCTATGAACTCGCTCCACCTGTCCATTTCCCCTGGGTACACCAGTAGTAATGGTTATGTGCTTAATATCTTCCTGTTTGCAATATTCTTCAAATTCACTACTTGTAAATGCTGTACCCTTGTCAGTTATAATTCTATGCGGGTTACCAAAACATTGCTGATGCAGTCTTAATTTATCTAATGCTTCTTTACTGGTTGTGCTTTTTGTTGGATAAATCCATGTGAACTTAGTAAATGCATCAATTATAGTAAGAATATAGTTATATTGTTTTTTAGTTTCCGTCATAGGCCCAATGTGATCAACATGTATAGTGTGCAATGGAACATCCTGTTTTCCTATGGGATTAAGAAATCCTTCCTGCTTTCCCTCCTTTCTATTCGCCAATAAGCATGGTATACAGGTTAACAAGAAATTTTCTATTTTTTTAGGTAAATTATTAATATAATAATCTTTACTTACTAACTCTAACATCTTCTTCATTGAGAAATGACCATTTTGGTGGACCCTTTTTAAAATCTCATTTTCCATGCCCTTCGGAATAACTAGGTGTTTGTTTTCTCCTTTATATAATAATCCACTATCCAATATATAGTCTTGATAAGGTTGTCTTTTCAAAATTTCAATAATTTCTTTCAGACCATCATCATTTTCTTGAGCATATCTTATGCTGTCATGTAAATCTGCAAAAATGGTATAAACAAATGGGTTCCTACTAAGCGCATCAGTATGTTGCATCTTACTTCCTTTGCGATGCTCAATACTAAAATCATAATCTTGCAAAAGTATTATCCACCTTGCAACCCTTGTGGACATTGCTAAATCTTTCTT